GTTAAACAAAAATCGGGTGAATCGTTGTTTGAATTCGCAAACCGCTGTAAAAACCTGTTGTACGACATGAACTTCTTTTCGGTGCCAATGCGGATCCAGGCATGATCACAATCAATGACAGAGCCGCTAGAAAGGCATTTGAAAATGGTCTGTTTGACAGCGACTTGCGCAATTTCGTTAAAAACATCCAGACACGCGATTTGCAGGAGTTGATTGACATTTCAGTCGAACGTTTTGAGACCACTCTCACATCAAATCCACGTCAACAGCTTTGCAGTCACTGTTCTAAAGGTCCACACAAAGAATCCGAATTTCGTAAAAAGCAAAGTGATTTAGCGAATATAAACCATTCAAATCGCGATAATGACGGTCAAAATTCGACTTTCAACCCCGGAATTAACTTGGATCGAAACGATTCCAATGCAAATGGTCAACAATACGCGAATAACTCACAAAAGCGTAATCAATCAAACAACTTTGGTCAAAATGCAAATTCGGTTCAACATAATGGCAATTTTACACGTGGTTCAGATAAGCGAAAATGAGTACTGCCCAAAATTTTGTTTTTACCATAAATCATATATATGAATTTGTTTTATATTTCACTTGGTGCAAATCAATTCGAACGATGTTTTTACTTTCTTGTGTGTCAGTAGTACTCTCATCTTCCAACACATTTGACTGGTTAGCGAATATTGATGCCACTGTGGGCTGACTTTTGTCACTATTTGGCAAAACTACAGAAAATGAATAGGAATTGAATTTCACAACAACTTTTTCTTATGTCTTACTCAGTTGTCAGTAATTAGTGTGAATAGTGACAACTAGGTGCGCGAGTTAAGGGACAAAAGTTAATTGTCCAAGAAAGGATTTATTTATTTTAAATAAAACACTTAAGTTTTATTTTGTTTCTTTTATTTTACTTGTGATTGAGTTCGCAGTAACTTTCAAACTGAAACTATGTGTTCAATTGCTCGCCTTTTATATCTTTTCTAGAGCGACACATTTTACAAAGCATATTATGATCAATATCTTAAATCTAACAAAAATATTTGATTAAGCTAAATAATCATAGCAATCATTTGTTTCATTACTTTCGCTTGCTATGTTCCCTTCACTCTTCTCTTTTCTCAAAAATTATTCGTCCTCGAATTCATTCGTATGTTGTCTTTATGGATTTTACTGTTTCTCATTGTTGTGACAGTAGGTCCGTTGTCGGTTTTAACAACATGTTTGATGTATACCGGTGATCTTTTATCGCGGCGGTTATTTTTTGCGAAGATGACATCTCCCTCTTTAAATTCTTTTTGTCGGCGGTTTCGATTTTCACTTTTGACCATAACTTCTTGTGCTTTCTTCAGTAATTGGGGGACCTCTGGGAAGTTTTCTTGATTGAAAAAAACTTCGATTGGTTTTGCGTTGATAACTGAATGCATCGTGTTGTTGTATTCGGTTACTGCATCCAGGATTATTTCTTCGAAGCTGAGTGATCGTTGTTCTGCTAGGCATCTTCCAATTTCGATTATTGTTCGATGTATTCGTTCGATTTGTGCGTTCGTTGTTGAATGCTGGCTCGGTGTTAAAGTTTGACTGATATTCTTTTCTTTCATCAATGCTTTTACTGCAAAAGAGGTGAAAATGGCTTCGTTATCAGTCATACAATGCTGGCATCTCGGGAACAGCTGAAGTATTTCGGATATCACCTTTTCTGCGTGGAGTTTATTCTCAGCTCGTCTCAGGAATACGAATTTTGAATATCGGTCGATCGCTGAGTAATAGATGTTGTTTCCAGCGTGAAATATATCGATTTGGATGTATTCACCGACGTACTTAGGTAGTGGTGTTGCTTTCATTTCATGCTTCGTTGGGTGTGTATCGAATTTTTGCTTTTTACAGATTTCACACCCGATGGCAAAAGCTTTAGTTTTCTTTTTCATGTCAGGAAAGAAATACTTTTGGCGAGTTTGAAGCAAATTTTCACGATGATTTCGGTGTGCTCGTTCATGTTCTTTGGTAATTATGAAGATTTGCTCATCTTCATCTTGAATGTCTCGTGTTCGATTTGTTGTGAAGACGAATTTTTTCTCGGGCAGCTGTTGGTGTATTTTCGCCTTTATTTGGAAGAAGTTTTCTTCAGTTGTACAAATTGCGTTAATTTTGTTGTTGTGTGCTGTCATATCGAGTTGTTGGATCAATCCATCGATGTCTTTATATTGAATTGTGTGTTTTACGTATCCATCAAAAATGGTTTCAGTGTTGACTCGGTTGATGTTTGATGGTTCCAAAAAGAGTTGGTTCTTATATGAATTGACTGGACTAGGGACCCGTTTTATTTCATCGATTGGTGAACTCGGTGAAGAATGGATGGAATTTTCCGTTTCATCGTCGATTATTTCGTAGCAGTATTGTCGTGATAGTGCGTCAGCGACAATATTTTCTCTTCCAGGTTTGTACTGGATTTTCGCTCCTGATTCTTCTATCAAAGCCTTCCATCGTTTGAGCTTCAAGTTCGAGTTTTTTTCGGTCACAGCGGTAGTCAGCGGTTGATGATCAGTGAATATTGTGAACGAGGCGATGCCATAGAGGTAGTTGCGGAGAGTTTTTAGGGCCCAGACGATAGCTAGTAATTCTTTTTCGTTGGTAGCCAGATTTTGTTCGGCTTCATTCAATGTTCGGCTGATGAATGTGATTGGACGCCCTCGTTGAGACAGCACAGCACCTATCGCGAAGTTGGATGCGTCTGTTGTTAACTCGAATGGTTGAGAGAAATCAGTTTGGAATAATTCCACATTCTCCTGAATTTTTTCTTTTGTGGCTTCAAACGCTTTTATTGCATTTTTGTCTAGTTTGATTTCAACTTTGCTACTCGACTTTGCTCCGATTTTACCATTTTCATTTACCAACAAGACAGACAGTGGTTTGACCATGTCGGCATAGTTTTTTATGAATTTTCGATAAGTGTTGCCCAGGCCCAAGAAACTTCGGAGTTGTTTCAATGTCTTCGGTGGTTGGTAATTTTTTATTGCCTCGATTTTTCGTGGTGAAACTCGTATGCGTCCTTCTGAGATGAGTTGACCCAAATATTCGATTTCTCTTTTGAAAAAGAAGCTTTTTTCAGATGAGATTCGCATGTGGCTGTTGGTGAATGCCTCTATGATCGTCTTGATATGATCAAAGTGTTCTTCTTTTGTTTTTGAAAAAATAATGACATCATCCATATAGACGTAGGCAAATTTTCCGATGGATATCGTCGATAGCTCGTTGGAAAATGCTTGGTGCATTTTTTAGTCCGAATGGCATTCTTGTGAACTCATATTTTGCACCATTGACAGAGAAGGCGGTTTTCTCAATGTCAGTCTCCTTGATTCGGATTTGATGGAATCCAGATTCAAGATCGATTTTTGAAAAATATTTTGCTTCACCCAAATTACTCAGGATTACATTAATGTCTGGCATTGGGTAACGCTCGAAGGTGGTTTGTGAGTTGAGCTTTTGATAATCGATCACTAATCGTTTCTTCGGTGTTCCGTCTGGATTAAAGCCTTCTTTTGGGACGATCCATATTGGGGAGTTGAATGGCGAATAGCTAGGACGGATGATTTCGTTTTCTAACAGCTTTTCGATTTCTTTATTAACGAAATCGGTTGAGGACATTGGATACGGGAACTGTTTTGTCCATACTGGTTCGTTTGTTGTTGTTCTTATCTCGGCTTCCACTTTAGTGTTGAATGGTAGAAGTCTTGTTTTGTTGTTCGCTTTAACTAATTCGGCGATTGTTGACTTGATTTCTTCATTAGTATCTTCATCGATGACGCAATGAATTTGCTGGCTTTTGGAGTCGGTGGAATAACTCATTTGGAAGGAAGTGAGATCGATGATGGCATGGATTTTTCTCAACTCATCCATTCCGAGAATTAGATCAAAGCTTCCCATGTCATCAAGTACGAAGAAAATCAAGTCATGATCGAACATATTGATTTTCACATATGAAGAGATGTTGGATTCACCGTGAATTGTTTTAATGGACCTTGGATTTTTTAACTGGATGATTTTGCCATTTCCGATTTTTTTGATAGAGATATAGTTATTCGTTGCACCTGTGTCGATTAAGCCGGTCAGTTTTTGGCCTGTTTGTATGTTTCGGCGATTGAAACATGGTAGGCCGTTTAATCGCCTAAAAAAATGCTCGAGTTGGAGCATGATTCGGCCTCTGCAAAATCTTCAAAGCTGTCATCGTCGATGATAGTTTTTTCGTATATCTCTTGATCTATGATTTTGTTGATGCGTTGTTGTTTGAATTTGGGCTCGGAAATATTTTCGGTGACGCCACGTCGTGAGAAGTTCCTTTTGAAAGTGTCTTCCCCGGTTGTCTGGATACGGTTGCTTTGGCGGTCGACATTGACATGAGTTGATGATTTATCGATGTCCATTGGTTGACTCTCCTTAATTCCATCATCAGCGCCTGGCAGTATTGCATGCTGGTTTGGTGATGTTACGCCAAGTTGCGTATGCTTTACGATCACCTGAGAATTCGGGCAAAGTTTTAAACAATTGCAGTGAGACATCTTCAGGGTTGTTGACTGCAAACGTCAGGTCTTGGTGTTCAACAATGGGAGGGGATTGCAAAGCCTCCTATTGGATAGTGATCTGGTCGATTTGGTCTTGAAGATGTGAAAGGATTTCTCTCAAATCGTTGGCCATGTTGAGTGGAGTTGGAGTCGTTGGATAATTTAATATTGTACTCATTGGATAATTTAATATCGTACTCGTTGGATAATCTAATATCACCTATTTGTTGTGGGTCCGGTGGTACAGAGTGCCGGGTTACTCGCCAGTTAAGGGACAAAAGTTAATTGTCCAAGAAAGGATTTATTTATTTTAAATAAAACACTTAAGTTTTATTTTGTTTCTTTTATTTTACTTGTGATTGAGTTCGCAGTAACTTTCAAACTGAAACTATGTGTTCAATTGCTCGCCTTTTATATCTTTTCTAGAGCGACACATTTTACAAAGCATATTATGATCAATATCTTAAATCTAACAAAAATATTTGATTAAGCTAAATAATCATAGCAATCATTTGTTTCATTACTTTCGCTTGCTATGTTCCCTTCACTCGCGCAGCGCACCGAATTTTCAAATTTGATTGTTTAGAATATTAAAAATGATTATAATTTGAATTTTTTTACTGTTGATATTGTTTAAAAAGGGTTTTTTTGAACTGCCCAAAATCAATTTTAGAACTGCCCAAATGGCTTGACGACGGCCCAAAATGGGCACGACTGCCCGCTATTTTACTCTCTGGTTCAGATCTAAATGGTAATAATTTCGGTCGCAATTCGAATCAAACTGGTAATATCCCGGGAACACAAACGTACGCGACGCGAATTTTTGAAAATGGCTTTGACTCCAATTCAATCGCACCTACTCAAATTCAAACTCAAATGGCACAGGAAGCCAGGAGTGATTTTTATCGAAATAATCAATGCCAGAACGGTAATGGTTTTCGTGACAATTTCACCTATTGTTGCGTTCACGATTCTGATCTGAATGCAAACGCTTTTTTATTTCGAAATTCGATTTCTCTTGGTTTGTGAATTTATGCTAATGCTAGTGGCCTTTGATACTCATCTTTGGCGTCGTTGAGATTAAACAAACATTTGTACGATTCACATTCAACACACTCACCATTCAAGCAATTCGATTGAATTTTCATTAAAATCAATTCAAAAGTAATCTGATGTCATATTCAATGACTTGACAACACTGGTTGTTTTGATTGCATTTTTCTGAACGCAGTTTGCTAATCAAGGCAATCACTATTGTGCCGAAATAAACGATTTTTTTCTTCTACATTCGAATGTCAGTTATAACCAAATTATCTTAAGCCGCGCGCAACTCTTTTGATTGAACACATCTAGACCACGGAGTCGTTCACGTCAAATTATTTTATGATTTTCAAAAATCATTTGGCTTGAATTATGCTACGATAAACGAGAACGCATGTTATCTAAATCAAATTTTCAAGTAATCGAGTCGATTCTGTCTCGGGAAGACAATTCTGTTGAGTTTGAACGTGGAAATAAGAGAGTCCAAATCCACAAAAATCAAATTGAGTCAAGCTACTCAAGCAAGTCAATCGGATTCTGTTTGAAGTCATTTTGCCTTAGAAATCAAATTAGAATTTTTCATAACGATTAATTTCATCCAAGCGACATTTCAACTAGCAAATGAACAAGAAATCCAATTGTAAAACAAAATTGTTTTGAATTTAGGAATAAAAAAAAATACATTAGGGATAAGAAAAGAAAATTTCACAACTAAAATGTAAAACAATTTCATTTATTCTTAAGTTTTATTGTAAAAACTGGGGGAGGAAAGTAGTGTGAACGAAGCCTTAAGCCCGAAGGCGCAGCAACCAAAACGGTGCGACGCGCCACCTGCAGCCCGAAAGGCTAAAGCAGGCGGCGGCCACACATGGCTTCTTCCACACGCTTCTTCTTCCGCTCACTTCTCTCTCGGTCATCGAGCAACACACATCACCACGTGTTGCTCAATAGCAAATAACTTTCAATAAACAACACCATTGATTATAAAATAAATAAAGTCACTGTGTTTCAATCCTCTTTCCCATTATAATCTCAGCATTTCGTAAGGCACGGATATATCCAAGCATATCGACGACGCATACTGTATAATACAGTGGCGTGTGTTGCTACGTGCAGCCGCAACGACTCGACCGAAGTGTGTTCAGTTGATGTGGCTGCACGCAGCAGCAACAACATACACATTCCAGTCGAGTCGTTGCGGCTGTGCGTAGCAACGCACGCCACTGTATGCGTCGTCGATATGCTCGGATATATCCGTGCCTTACGAAATGCTGAGATGCTCAGCAATCTTAAAACACATGTTTGCATTGTTTCATTTACTAGAAGAAATATGAGGCGTATGAAGTAGTGTTCTCATCGGGGCCGAATTTTCGACCCGACAACCGACCGACAATCAGCTATGCTCACCGATAACCGACCGATACCCGACATTGTCGGTCGGGTGTCGGTCGGGATCTTTTCGGGGGCTCGGATTCATTCGGGGTTTCGGGGATAATTCGGTGTTTCGGTGAATTTTTGAGTCAAATTTATCGACATTTTGTCCAAAAATACATTATTTTTCCGGATTGGTATGTTGAAAAGAGTTTTTCAGTTTTACATTTTCTACCAAAAAATGAATAATCTCCGAGTTATGGTCGAAAAATTGGAAGAATCGACAATTTTTTCGACATTTTGCCACATAGTAACTATTAAATGTGAATTTTTACCCGACTAACCGATTCACCGACAACACCCCGACAAAACCCAGATAAATCCACCCCGACGAGCCTATTCCGACTTCCGACCGACACCCCGACATTGTCGGTCGGTGGTCGGTCGGGAGTCGGTCGGTAGTTGGGTGTCGGTTGGACTTGAGAACACTAGTATGAAGTGCATGTAAATTATTGTATTCGAGTGAGCTAAGATGCACAAAGTATTCGTCAACTCACTATTGATATATAAAACAGTGAAACGACCGTTGCTTCCCAGACTGATATCTCAGTTCCTAGGTGGTAAATTTGGTTACTTTTTTTAAATTGAAGTTTGAAAGACGAGCTATCCATTGGGAGTCAAAATAAAATGGAAAAAAAAATCCAAGTTTTTCAAATCCAGCTACGAAAAAATGATGTTTTTGGACCTTTTTTCACTCAGTAGATAAGAAAATTTGGAAAATAAAAAATGCAAAAGTAATGATGCAGATCTTTCATAAAAAGACCATATTTTTAGATACAATTCCTCTTCCGATATTTATTTCGTGATTTGTGTGCAGTACACGTGCGTAAAAATGGGTGGTCGGAAATCCGACCATTGGTCCTATATGTGATCAAAAGAGGAAGAAATCAATTTTTTAGATACTTTTTAAAACATTGATATTTGATATGACAATCATTTCTATGGGTGAGATTGAGAGTGGAGTATGTTTTTTCTTCGATTTATATTTTTGAAAAGGCGAGTATGTTTTCTGATGATTCTGTTGGCGTTAAAGTAGAGTATGTTGTAGTACCGTCTAGCCTCCGCGGTCTTCATGGTTTTCGCGCAACTGATGAAAGATAACAACATAGTGTCTTCGGCAAAGTTGTAGTACTTGAGGTCTTCTATAACTAAGCTGAAGAAAGTTATCTCTTATCTCTTATCAGTTGCGCGCAAATCGCGCACATAAAAAAGCAAATTTTATAAAGAACTTTTTTTTTCTTATCATTTTTCGCGCTTTTCGCGGAACTGATAAGAAATAAGAGATAACTGCCTTCAGCGATGTTATAGAAGACCTCGAGTGCTACAACTTTGCCGAAGACACCAAGTTGTTATCTTTTATCAGTTCCGCGGAAACCGTGAAAAACCGCGAGGACCCGCTAAAAACGAACATACTCGCTTTTAACCATTTTTAAGTCGACAGAAACTTGCTCTTCTCTTTCGTAACAAAGTCAATCAAACATACACTACTCTCAATCTCACCCATGGATTTGTTTAGTCCAAAAACGATAAAAAATAAATAGAAATGTCTATTCTAACTTAATATTAAGTGAGAAATGAATTCATCATAAATTATTCCATTCATTTGTGGGCCTCGTAGAGTGTGAAACACTTTGCGTGTAGGTGAATGTTGCAACGTTTGCAAATCTGGTTTGTGTGTTTGTGGCAGTGCTTGCATCGACGACTTTTTCCATCTGGTGACCGTTCAATGAGATGACTTTTGACTGCGTCATTTACCAGTCCATCAGGTTCATAATCAGGATCGTCAATGTCATCATTCTCCATATCGACCTCGTCGTCACTGGCAAACTCTTTCTCGAAGGAGTGATCAAGTGCTTGGTGATTTTGGAACGGAATTCGATTTGTGATAACGGTTTGAACGGGTTGGCACTATTTTTAGCCACGAAACAATGCAATTTCCATGCATTAACCACTGCGGTGTTCAACGTGTGTGTGAACAATGGCCACCACCATTTCTTGCCACGCACATTGACCCGATAGTTCGCTGCTGCATTGTCTTGCAAATCCACGCCGCCCATGTGTTGATTGTAAGAATTGATAAGGTGCGGCTGATGAAATGCTGCGATTCGCTTTTGCTTTCGATCATACCGTCGGGTCGTTTTCAATGGCTCAATCGTTTCAAAGTTTGTGATCATGTTGACGTCAGCGTTATCGTTCCAACGTGCCATGAAAATTTCGTTGGTCGTGTCGAATCGGTAGTCGTGATTGCCTCGAGGCAGTTCTTTGCCACTTTTCAAGTTGACATTTAGCATTCGATTTTTCCGAATCGTTCCACAGCCCAGGAAGCCACGTTCATTCATCAAACACATCAAATAATATGATGAGAAGAAATTATGGAAAAACACTCGATAATTTTTGGGCTCTTGAACAATCTTCAGTAGCTCCAGTACGACGTGTGCTCCCAAACCAATTTGCTTGTCGTAAGTCTCCGATGCTCCAGTGTACGGGATTGCTTTGTACAAGTATCCATCACTGCTACAGATACACCAGTATTTGAATCCGAAACGAATCGGTTTATCACGAATGAACATTTTGCACGAGTGGCGTCCGTAGTAAGGCACCATTTGTTCATCGATTGAAAGATTTGTGTGAAATACACCAAATTGAACGAAACGTTCGTTCAAAATGTCCAATAACGGGCGCACTTTTGCGTACCGGTCGTCTTTGTCGAGCTCATCGTTATCGCACACATGCACGAATCGTTTGATTTGGAGAAATTTACTCCGACTCATTGCCTTTTGTACGATTGGTACACCCAAATCCTGTTGCTTCGACCAGTATAATTTGACTTGTGGCAGCGTATGGTAACCACTAAGCAGTAAAATGCCAATGAACCGTTTCAGTTCAAAGATGTTGGCCACACTTTCATGAACGTTGTTGTCGTTTGCGTATTTGTTTGTGAAGTTCACAATGTCATTCAAAACAGCGTCATCGATGAACAGTTCGAATAATTCCACCGCGTTTTCGTACCTAAATTGCAAGAATTTTCAAATGAAATACCAAACATACCAGTATTTATTTCTTCGTTTTACCAATTTTTTCAACAAGATCTTCTACGGTTTCATACGGAACTTCGGACTCAGCTTCCTGTTTGTATGTGAGATTGACCGGTTTGCGCCATTTTGGAACACCAAAGTCACTCAATGGTGTGTGTTTTTCAGCACCTGCTTCAGTTGATTCACTTTTTTTCTTCTTCGGTGCCGGTGGTTCAGTATCAGCATCCACGCCACAACTGTACTGGATCTCAAAACTTCCTGGCATTTCATTGGTCAAAAGGTCATTTTGATTGTCGTTTGGCATTTCATCGTCGTCAAGCGTCTCCTCATCACTCATTTGATCCACAGTTGCTGGTGGAATGTACACCACTTCCGTGGGATTTCCATCATCTTCTTCATCGCTCCAACTATCTATCATTTCTTGGAGCTCTGCCATTTTCAGGCATACTCGACGTGCCATTTTGCAAACGTTGATTCAAATTGATTTCACCTTCTATCAATAAAATGGATCTACTTCGATTCACTGACTGGGTCAAACTGATGTCATTCGAAAATGCATTCGTATTCAGCCGAGAAGAAATCAAATTGACACTCGCTATTTTTGATTGCATTGGCAAATTTCTTCGTGCGTATTCGAATTCATTCTTCAGTTCTTCATTCATATTTTTGTGAATTATGCCAGGAAACTGTGGACCAAACGCATTTTTTGATGACGAAAGCATTTTTTCCATTATGGTGCATTCATTCTCCGTTTATTCATATAAATAAAAACATGATACAAATTCTTATGCTGACGATTGCAATAAAGTTTTCTCCGTTGGCCAACTGACTTAAAATCATTCAAAATGCATATTATGAATTCAAACGATTATGAAATGTGATAAAACACGTCTAGAACAACGATATTGATGGTAAAAATTAATTCTATGGATGTATTTTCATTCTTTCTTGAGGATTAAAAAAATTCAAAATTTCACCTACATTTGATTACATTAGGGACCGTTGGTCGGAAAAACGACCAGCACATTTTTGCTCATTCTGGCTAAGTGCGAAAAAAAATTATCGATCTGGGAAGTGGAAACTTCTTTTTTCGACTATATTATTCATATCTGAAAGTTTGAATCATTTTGAAAACAAAATAAGGATCGCGGTCCAAAATGGGTTAAAGTATTCCTATAGACTAGCAAAACCCGAAAGGCGTTTTGCATTATTAGCTCGTATAAGAAAGTATTGGCCATAGGCAGTTTTCGTTGCTCAGTCGATTTTAACACTATGATTGTTCTTGGGGCACCCAGGGCCCCCAGCGAACTTTAAAGTTGAATAAAAGTACTAAACAGTGTATAAACCAACCGGAGTTAAGTCTCATTGTATAGATTGAACATTTCTCTACACGACTGAAAAAAAAACATATACATATGTGTGAGTACGTGTGAAATACAGCCTGCCGCAAAACATGTTACGCTGTTGTTCTTGGGGGACTCCAGGGCCCCATGGCTATTTTATATTATAACTGGACTATGATAAGAGATATCGACTTGGTGTCTGTAGCAGTGTTGTAGACTAGTTTATGTACTACAACTTCGCCGTAGACATCAAGTCGTTATCTCTTATCAGTTACGCGAAAAAATGATAAGAAAAAATTCGCGTTTTTCACGGTTTTCTGTGGTTTCTCGCGTATTCCGCAAAACTGATAAGAGATAGCGAGATAGTGTCTATGGCAAAGTTGTAGTTCTGGTCAAGTAGTACAACTTCACTACAGACACTAAGTCGTTATCTTTTATCAGTTACGCGAAAAAATGATAAGAAAAAATTCGCGTTTTTCACGGTTTTCGCGGCTTTTCGCGTAACTGATAAGAGATAACGACTTGATGCTTGTAGCGAAGTTGTAGTACTTAAGCTGCTCTACAACTTTGGTATAGACACCATCTCGTTATCTCTTATCAGTTTCGCGGAATATGCGAAAAACCGCAGAAAACCGTGAAAAACGCGAATGTTTTCTTATCATTTTTTCGCGTAACTGATACGAGATAACGACTTGGGGTCTGTGGCAAATTATAGTACTCGACCAGAGCTACAACTTTGCTTTAGACACCATCTGGTTATCTCTTATCAGTTCCGTGAAAAATGATAAGGAAAAAACGCGTTTTTTCGCGGTTTTCTGCGGTTTCTCGCGTATTCCGCGAAACTGATAAAAGATAACGACTTGGTATCTTCGGCAAAGTTGTAGAGCAGGTCAAGTACTACAACTTTGCCACAGACATCAAGTCGTTATCTCTTATCAGTTACGCGAAAAAACGCGAAAAACGCGAGTTCTTGATAATCATTTTTCGCGAAACTGATAAGAGATAACGACTTGGTGTCTGTGGCAAAGTTGTAGTACTCGACCTGTTCTACATTTCTGTCGAAGAGGCAAGTCTCTTACTTCTTATCGGCTTCACTAAAACGAGGTGGGAAAATTTCGCGATTTTCGCGTTTTTTCGCGTTTTTCGCGAAACTGATAAGAGATAAGCAATGTTTGTTGCAACAAAATTATAGCAAACCTCGAGTATTACAGATTTGCTTCAGACACTAATTTGTTATCTCTTATAACAGTCCAGATTTCATATGAAATACATATGGGGCCCTGGAGTCCCCCAAGAACAGTAATATGTTGCAAATATGAAGAACAGTCATAGTGTTAATGTCTGATATGCCATTTGGTGTCGCTTTTCCATGACCCGAATTTTGTTGGACTGTGTTATAGTGTTCTCAAAACTTCACTATACAAATATCAGTTTTTTTTTCAAAAAAATGCTGAGGTGTGTCACTTTAAATTGCTGTCAATAACGTTCAAAAATTGCTGGATATTTAAAAATAATTATGATGTATCGGTGGCTTTATAAATCAGAGCTTAAAATAAGAGTGAATCAAGTCCAAAATGGTGAACCAAGATTTGAAAATGTGAATAAAAAAATTCCAAACGGTGAATTAAGAATTCACCAATAAAATATGAATTTAACTCGATTTAACGTCTATTTTTAAAAAATTCGCGGTAAGCGCGACGTTCAAACGGTGAATTTATTTTATGTGATGAATATTGCGGTTTCAATCGGTTTATTCGAATTTAGCCACTGTATTGTTTGTATTATTAGGTCTATGCAAAAGTTCTCGCTGTTTGCCGATAGATGGCTCCAGCGGTAAGTGCTGGTGAAAAATATCAGCTCTAAAACGTCATACGGTAAGCTTGGGCATCTGTCAACAGTTCTGCATCATCACATTTGTAAATTTTTATCTGCATCATCACATTTGTAAATTTTTATCTGCATCATAAATTTTATTGTGCTCAAAAATGTCCGAGTTCGTGCCAAAAAAACAGCATTTGCGGGAGCAGATTTTTTCATACGGGAAAAATGTGAAAAATAGATTATTCTTTTATCGAGTGGACACTGGTAGTGAAGAATGGACCTTTCTCGATAGACACAAGCATATCAAACCACATTTTGATCGTGGTTACTTGACATTATAGGGGGCGCCACAATCACTCCCTCGAAAAAGGGTGATTTTCCATATTTGCGGGTGTGGGGCATATATGGTGCATTGTAAGGTGGTAGAAACTTATCAAAATGTTAGCTTTTATCGTTCCCAACAGAAACTAATCGGTATATACCAATTTCTGACAGCAAAATCGAAAAATTGACTTATCGCCGCAAAAAAGCGAATTTTTGAGGAAATTTTTTTAATGGCTTTTTGGCTATCAAGTCCAAAATTTCTAAAAAGCTATTAATTTTGAAAATCCTTTATGCCTCCGCTGTAATCTCCAGACATTGCGCTTTCTTACTACCACTGGTTTCAGTCGATTCAATATCACCTAAGTGGAGGACGGTTCACTTGTTTTCAAAAAGTCAAAAATTGGCTTGATTCGTTCTTGGCCGCCAAGCCGGCGCAGTTCTTTTGGGATGGAATCCATAAATTGCCTGAATTGTGGGCAAAAGCCGTGGCTAGCGATGGACAGTACTTTCATTAAAATATTCATTCGATTTGTTTTTGAAATAAAGCTCTATATTCTATAAAAAAAACAGCGAGGACTTTTGCATATACCCAATACAATTGCTTAAAATGGCTACTGTGAATTGAAATACAACACAGGCGCACGCTAAATCCAATTGCATGCATATTTTTCCAATGTATTGAAATGACAGCTCATTGTCAGTAGCGAAATTAGAATACTACACATAAGCGCACGGAATCCGTTCCACGCACAAAAAAGGAATACATTTTCAGACATTGACTACGGTTATACACATAGTGTTTCATTTGCTATGCGTTCGCATACACATTTTGCATACTGTATGCAATACTATTGTAACTAAAAGTAAGACATACAGTATGCAAAATGTGTATACGAATGCAAAGCGAATGAAGTTCTATGCAATCCATTGTAGCAGAACTATTTAGAAATATTTTGTGTGCAGTGTGCGCTTGTGTTTTTGTTTGTCGATTCGATGATTTTTTACGACCCTTTCGATTTCAGCAAAATGTGAATCAAAGGGAATCCTTATTTTAAGCCCTGGTTCATAGAAAAATTCCTCCATACTCTTCCGAGCTACGAATCAACAATCAATTTATCACCGATGAAATATTTTCATCCGAGTTTAACACATAGCAAAATATATGAACTATACACAAACTTGTGTTCATTCCAACAACGCACAGTCTTATCCAAAAAAAATATTCAATAGGGTGTTTAAAGACCGATTCAGTCATTTAAAGCCGTTCAAATTGGCATCAGTGTGTTGTGTGTGAAGGAAAGAGACGAGCATTATTCAGAAGTGAAAAATGTGAAGAATGAATTTATGCAGTGCGTTGAAGAATCAAAAACGAACCAAACTGAAGTGTTGACGTTTGAGTTACAACCACCGCTTGAAATGCCATGCTTATTGACAGAGGAATGTTATGACTGGAGATAGTTGTGGTTTTCGAATTTGTGCATTTGCGATGAAGTGCGCCAAAGGTCATGCATGTACGTGTGGGACGAGAAGATTTCTCGTCGAGGACCAGAAGAAATTGCATCGTATGTGCTGAAACACATTTTTACATCTGTTCCAAAGACAGCCAGCAAAGTTATTTTATACAGTCAACCTTGCAGTTTATATCAAAACATGAAAATGAGCTTGATGCTAAAAAAAGTTGGCGACTATCTGAAAAACTCGAGCCTGAAAACCATTGAGCAAAGATTTTTCCTCGAAGGCCACAACTCTAACGACCGCAACCGATGTTTTGAAGCCATTGATAAGCAAAAAAAGTCAACTATGATAGAGAAAAATTTATTCACACCGGATGACTGGGTTGAATTGATCGTATCGGCTAAGCATCCACAATATGATGTCGTAAAAATGAATGAAAATGACTTTTTTTCAGTTGCACAATTATTGAATTTCGTAATTAACGATAAACACTCAGCGACTGTACAACGAATTTTTT